ACAGAATCCTACAGACTTCAGAGGTTTCACAGACACTACCATCTTACTGCTGCTGTATGCATACTTTTCTGCAGTTCTTCATAAAAAGTTGGGAGTCCTCAATACTCCAAGCCCAGTGAGATTCTGCTACCTACAAATAAGTCAACACTAGGCAACACTGAAAAACAGACCTCAGCATAACTACAGCAATCTAAATACAAGCATTAGGAAGTCACGGGTATATTTTCAACACCCTCAGTACTCATTTACTATGCTGGAGAAGAAACGGCAGGGGGAACAGCAAGAGGCTGATAAACCCTGGTGTAAAGCAATTGGGAAAGGCTACAAACTTGTCCTAACACCTCAAATTTAGAATTAAATCACTAAAACAACTCAAAGCAGTCAAAGTTTTTATTTTGCAATATCCTGGAGCATTAGCACACACATGTAGACAAAAATCTTTCATTTTAGGCACTGTCTTTTATCTAGTTCTGGACTTCCTTTCCAGAGAACTTCCAGTAATGTTTCTGGAAATCCTTAACTCCTCTTTGGAGCCAGAGAAATTCCTGTTCAGAGACAAGGCTACTAAGGTTCAGTGAAGGAGCTGGAATACTTTTTACCTCAGTAGACAAAACTTGTAAAAAATTGTATTTTCCTGGAGTGTAACACCATTTAAAAGGTCTTTGCCAAGAGTAAAATCATGTTTTTTATCTTTATGTCTCTTATTTAAACCAGATTCTGAAGACACTTCTCTTTATACTCAGCTCTGTGACACTAGAAACAGTGTACTGCAGCTTCAAAATGAGATTGCCAGTATTCTTCTTCCCAGACAGAGCTCTTAGATTCTAAAATTAAATTCTACTACCTTGTGGTACTTGCTGCAAGTGACTGAAGATCAATTATAAAAGCACTCTTCTAATTTGCAGACAAAATGTCCTATAAATAGAAGCGTACTAAGAAAAATACTCTGTAAATAGGATCTTTCCCTTTGTTTGTAAGTAGAGATTTTTTTCTATAAAGAATCCTCCAGCCAGCTAATTACAATGCTATTCAGCAAACCATTATCTCCAGGAGATTGCTTATTTCAGTAGAACTTCAGTTCTATTACTGTCAAGTATGCCTGATTAAATGTTCCAGTGTCTAACCCAAGCCATATTTATTATGTGAGCAGATATTCAGAGCTCTTCAGTATTTCAGCATTTTGATCTCAGATCCTGGATGGGATGGACCAAGATAAGCAATAAAATCAAACAGCTTTGATAATGATGCACTTATTAAACAAAAATAATCAACACATGAATTAAGCTATGTGCTCTGTTACTTAAAACAACATACACTGGTATCAGCAAAATCTTCGCACATTATTCTTTGGTTTATGACCACAGATGTGAATGGTTCTGATTTATTCTTTTATTTCAGCTTTAGATTCAAAGTTCATATTCTGCACAGTTTAATGTACCAATGACTTTTTTCCAAAAGGTGTTACTATAAACTACACCCTAAGTTAAAAATCTGAAAATCATGTTTCTACCTGAAGTGTAAAAAGCCAAAAACCTTATTTCAGAACACTTTTATAAAGAAACAAAATTTATGCACCTGTAAGACAATCCTAGCTCTGCCCATCCCACCCAGTCCTATTACTCACAGTATTTATCTCCTACAACTTTTTAATTCCTCAGCCACTTTGAGCTAAATTTGTTAAAATGTAGTACTAAGAAATGTTCTTAAAGGATTGTTAAAATTGAGACACCAAAAAGAGCAACAATTCTGTTAACCCTTTGTCATAAAGCAACTTCAATGTGATCTCAATCTTATTAGATAGCACAGGCCCTATCCAGAAAACATAATCCCAATAATGGGAAAAAGCAAACTGCTTTATGTTCTAGTAAATCCCCCACAAATTCTTTGTAGATGAACCTCTCAAGCTCCTTACTATAGCTAGATGTTATAGCTCCTTGAAACCTCGAACCGAGCCACTTTGTTAGATATGCCATATACATGCAATGGCAAGGTGCTTGCCCTAAGGAATTCTGACACCAGAACTGAAAAAGCACCTGCTTCAGGTCCAGGTCTGAACTCCATCACCTCTGCAGGCTGATTTCACATAACTGTTGTTAGCCATAGGAAGACATTATTATTATTTCACGGCCCACGTGAACAGCTCTGTGACTGCCTTCAGACCCGTCAGGAGCCGGGAGAGCTCAGCAAGGGAACACCAGCGCTGAGCTCGCAGCCTCTCGGCACGGAACAACCCTTGCGCTTATGTGCTCGATAAACCGGGCACACCACAGCCCCTCTCGGGACAGCCCTCCCCAACGCCCGGGGATCAGGTCCGGTGCCGGGGTGCGGGGGCAGCGCACACGACCGACCCCGCCCCGTTATGCAACGGCGGCGCCGCCCCTTCCCGGCGGGACGGGACGGGCTGGGACCCGCCCCGTGGGCACGTGACCGGGAGCGCCGCCGCCATGTTGGACGGGGGCGGGAAGGGAAGCGGCGCGGGCCGTCCGTCCCCCCAGCCCTGCCCGGGGAGGGGGCTGAGGAGCGGCCCCTCCGCCCCCACCGGCACCGCGAGGCAGCGGGGCTGTGCCCTCCACTATCCACCCGTCCTCCCCGCAAACAAAGAGCGGCGTCACCCCCTTCCCCGCGCCGTTCTCCGGCCCGTGACGGTGTTCGGGGGGTTGGGGCGCCGTGTCTGCCCGCCGCCCTCCCCACTCCCGTCCTGCCCTCGCCGTGCTCGGCAGCCCCCGCCCGCCGGGCCCTTCCCGTGCGGCCGCGGGCTGGCCCGGGGAGCACCGCGACCACCCCGCGGGCTGCCGGGCAGCAGAGCTGCTTGGGCTGCACGGCACAGAGCGGGCTATTCCCAGACAGGGAGCCCAGCCGAATAAATATTCAGAGAGGTCTTTCTGAACCCTTCAGGTTCACAAACGCAGAGCCCTGAAGGCACTCAAATTTCAGAGATTAAAGGACGATAAAAGGCCTGTGGACATCCAACAGAATTTTAAATCAAGTCCAACAGTACAGTAGCATTTTGCCAGGGAAGTCTTTAAAACTCTCACACCAAATCCATTTCCTCCAGTGTCCTATCTGTAAGGATCCCACTATCCCTGCGAATGTGAACTGAAAATACTCAGCGGAAACCTCCTGATCCTACTGCTCCCTGTCAGTCATTATTTCCCAGAGAGACTGCTGTATTTACAATTAGCCATTAAGAAAGGGAAGGAGGGGGGTGTAAGCCTATAGAAGGGATGCCATTTCACTCCAGTGTAGACTACAGAGTATGTGATGTGCATGTTCAGCCAAGCTGACTTGCGTCTCTCAAGTGTTCCCTGAGCAAACCAACCCACCACAACCTGGAAGGCTGCTTTTACACCGAAGCCAGAATACTGCACAGAACTGACTTCAGTTCCGGTGGTTGTTGGGAGCCTGATCTCCTAACTGCATTTGGTGGGACACACTGAGGAGCTACAACTGCTGTGCCAGTTTCAGGCAGGAAGTAAGTTTCCGGTTAATTGCACTTTAAACCCAGAAAGAACAGTGTCCAGTTTAACCACTTCCTGAAGCTCGATCTTCGCCCCGGAAAGACGGCCTTTCAGGATTAATTTTGGGATAGATGCAGGCCAGCGAGCCAAAATAAACACTTTTTGGACTGATGCTATGAATTCATTGTGATTTCAGGACTGTAACATCTACCCATTAGTTTATGAGCTGCCAAACGTGCTTTGACCTTTAAATGATACAGGCATTTACTTGATATGTCTGAAGGCTTAGAAATTCAGTCCCATCTCCTCTGAGTACTTCTCAAGAGCACATCCCATCTTTAGCAAACAGAAGAAGGAGCTATTCCTTTTGTATGGCAAGAAACGTAAACCAGTTTTCTACAAGTGGCTGAAATGGATCTCACTGCAAGCAAACTCAGAAAAAACAAAATCCAAAAATCCCAACCCTTACTGCTTTGAACCCTTTCCTGTCAAGTACCTGATAAAAACCTGATGTGTTCAGTGGAACAGTGCTATAACCATCTACCTTCCAGCCCTTTCTTCCCCTTTGCATGAGAGGCCATCTACAGACCAAAAACTGCAGAGCTCCAAGTCGATGGTTTGGCTGCTTAAATACAGGGCAGATTTTAAAGCAAACGCTTGTGAAGAGGGCAGCAGTGGATGGCATGGGGGAAAACCTCTACTTAAACAGAGCTACTGCACAAGAAAATGCTTCAGTGTCACTCAGTACAACTTCTTATTCTTGATGACAGCCACCTCCTAGCAACAAGTGGCACATCTGCTTTCAAGATGTGCTTTGCTGTTTCCTGACAACCACCCAAAAATCAGTTTTCCTCTAAACAGAAGCTCCAGTTGTGACATTTTAATTTGTTGCTTTAGTGGAATCATTACCACCCCATCCCAAATGTCGTCAGCCACCTCACTGAGCATGGCTTTTCAAAAAACGAGCTTTAGAGCTGGTGACCCGACTGCTGCCCTGGTGCTTGCCAAGTTTGAGGCTGTGTCTCATTTTGAGAGGGGGCAGGGGAGCAGGTTCCATATAAAAACTATTTCAACGTGTTCTATTTGTTTTAAGCCCCTAGAGAACACTCTCTTAGGCACTCTGGCCTGACTCTAGCATTATTATTTCTATTTTTACAAGTTTAGTCAAGCTGTTGCTGGTAGTCGTGCATACGGTGGCCTACAGCATATATGAGGCAGCCAGTTCAGGACTGTGCACGATGCACTCCAGCATGGCAGGGTTCCAGAAAAACAGCAGTGCTCCAGAAAGCACAGCAGGCTAGAAAAATCAGCCCTCCCTCCCTAACAAGAAATTCGTAGTAGACGCTCTGCAGCAGGTTGTGGGGGCGGCCGAGGCAGACACTGCTGGGTGGGGGAGGACGGGAGAGGCCACGTCCCAATGTGGGGGCTTCGGGGAAAGGTAAGCGGCCGCCCCCAGCTCCTAGGAAAACGGGAGGGAGCGATGGAAGAAGGAAACCGCCCGCTGAGATGGCGCAGCAGGAAGGGAGCGGGACGCGGCGTTACCTGGGCTGGGTGGCGGCCGAACCCCTCCTCCTCCTCCTGGTCTCTGCACAGGGCCGTCCGCAGCCGCTCCAGGTGCTCCCGAAGGGTGACCCGCTGGTGGAAGGAGAAGGCCGGGTGCAGCGAGGCCATGGTGAAGAGCAGGAGCAGCTCCTCCTGCGCGCCGCAGCCCAGGCCCTGGGCGGCGGGCAGCCCGGCCTGCCCGTTCTCCGCCGCTCCGTCCATCACCACCACCATGTCCCCCTCCTCCTCCTCCTCCTCCTCGTCCTCCTCAGCCGGGGCCCGCCGCGCCGCCGGGCAGCTCTGCAGGATGGAGTCCACTTGGGGCAGGAGGCGGTGCAGGCGGCCGGCGGCCTCGCGGTTCTCGGAGCCCAGCAGGGCCAGGTACACGATGAGCTTGGAGCGCACGGCGGGGTCGCGGAAGTCCCCGAGCTGCCCGGGGTCGCTGAGCCCGTTGGCTTTGGCCTCCGAGTCGCGGAGGCAGTGGTAGTCCTTGCGGGCCAGGTCCTCCAGGCAGGAGCCCAGGAACCGCAGCTCCAGCGGGTTGCACAGGTCCAGCAGCCCCACCATGAACTCCAGGCGCTGCGCCGAGCCCAGCACCAGCCCGAACCACTCGTACACCGTCTCCTTGTCGGTGCGGGCGGCCGCCGAGCCGGGACCGCCGCCGCCTGGAGCGCCGAGCGCGGAGGGCGGGGGCGGCGGGCCGGGCCCGGGCCCCGGCCCCAGGCCGTGCAGCCGGCTTGGCCTCTCCAGCCCGCACCCCCTCCCCGCCGCCGCCGCGGCGCCCCCGCGGGCCCGGGGCACCTGCTGCTGCAGCGGGAGGTGACAGTCCAGGGCACCGCCGGGCTCCTTCAACCCCGCCACCGTCGCATCTTCCGCCGCCGCTGCCTTGTGGGTCGTCTGCTTCAGGGGCAGCTTCATCTTCAGCATCCTCGGCGGCGGCACGGGAAGGACTCGGCGCCCGCCGGGGCCCAGCGGGAGCGGGGAGGGGGGGAGGGCACGCGAGGCTCAGGCGGAGCCGCTCATGCCGCTCATGCGGCCCGGCCGGCGCGGGAGCGGCGCGCGCGCGGGTGAAGGGGGGGTGAGGGGGGGCAGAGCGGTCCCGGCGGGCGGGGAGCGGGCGGGCGGGGCGGGGCTCGCTCGCGGCGGCGGCGGCGGCGGCGGCGACTCCCCGTCTCCGCCTTTGCCCGGCGCGCTCTCGCGGCGGTTCCCCTTCTCCCCGCCCTTGCCCGGTGCCCGCGCAGAGCCGGTGGGCGCCAGCGGTTGCGCGCTCGCGGCCCCGGGCGGCGCGGCTGGCTGAGGCCCGAGATACCGGCGAGGGGGAGGGGGGAGGAGCGGGCGGAGCGCGCGCGCCTCTCCGCCTATGGGCGCCGCCCGCGTCAGCGCGCGCCCGCCGCTGCCGCCGTGGGGAGGGCTCGGAGGGAGTGGGGGGGGGGCGCGCGGGGCGGGGCGTTACGCGCGGCGTTGCGCGGGGCTGCGCGCGCGGCACGCCCCGGGCGCGCGCAGCCCCAGCCGCTCGGTCCCGCCCCGCCCCGCCCTCCCCGCGCCCGGCCTGGGAACGGGCGGCGGCCACTCGTGTGCCCCGGGAGTTCCACTGCTCCCGCCGGGGGGAACCGCGGAGCGATTCGCCTGGGACTAGTCCAGGAGCGAGCCGCCTTGTGTTCTGGGTGAAAGATTTCCCTGCGGTACGGCCGTGCGTTGGCTGATGGCTCTGCTGTGCAAAGCCACGTGGGTTTGCCCAGAGCCGGCAGCAGCAGGCCCGGAGCTGTGCCGTGCCGGTGGTGGAACAAAGCTGATGGCACGAACATGGCTGCTACGGGCCTTTCTAATTTCCAACGCAGTTGAAACTATTGCTGTTGTAGGAGCTCTCCTTTTTAAAAAGGCCATTGTTACAGTATCATTGCTTTCTACCTAGCCCTTTTTACTCTAGAGAAATACAGGGAATATTGCAGAAAAAATAAAGCGCAGCAAAATGGTTTAGGGATACTCTGTTAGGAAAGAACATGCTTTCTTCACTCTTGTTCCCCATCCTGTTCCTGGCCGTTATGATCCACGACGATGAAGAGCCTAAGACTACAAGATTAAGCAGTGCTCTGACTAATCATTAAGTTGCGATGCTCCTCGCTTCGATTCCCGCAGTTACATAAAGGCAGTGCATCTGAAAGCAGAATCAAGTCAGTGGCTTGCGGAATAGCACAGCAAAGAATATAAACGAGCCTTAATTACACAGAGTAGCATCCCTGAACTGCTTACAGCAATGAAGTATAAACTGCCAGACCTGACTCCCCCTTATCTGTCTGTCCAGAAGCCAACAGTGCTACAGTGAAGGAGTTTATCAAACGCTTAAGAAAATGTCGTGCAGATTATAACAGTCTGTATGCATCACTCGGATTTGCCACAGAGCAGTCTTGAATGGCAGCTACAAACTACACCATATCCTGCATTTTTATATATGTGCAGCAAACATATGTATTTTATTCTAAAATATTAAAGGACTAACTTGTAGGTAGCAGATGTTAAGTTTTCATGTTCCTAATGGCTGCCTGGTCCCCTTGTGGTGACAAAAATGGACTTGAACCTTACTCTGTGCAGCTTTCCGTGTTCATTGGTATCACAGTGTCGCAGGAGTGGAGTGGGGAGTGAGTCAGGTGTTACCCTTTCATCTTGGACCACCAGCAGTTCTTTGCTGGTCCCAGGACAGTGAAGAAAAGTCACACAAAGTCTCATAAACTTATTTTATCTCCTTTTACTTGATCCTCTTTGCCTGTAAGGGCCTGGCTGGACATGTGAATCATCCCAGATCTCTGCAGTCATTAGTCAAAGCAGCTATCACCCCAGTATGATATTTTCTTACATTGTATTATGAGGCAGTAATTTTAGAATTACAGCAATTCTTGTCACATTATCATTATGCTTTTTTCAAAACAAAAAATTACTGTGACTATCTCTGGGAATATGCCAAGCTGCCATCATGGAAGCTCAGAAACGAGGCTTGAGGTTTCTGCTTAGTAGTTTGAGCAGGTATTTCAACAGTCGGAATAGAATTTACAAGTTCAAAATTACAATGATACAAATGTTATAAATAACATTTCCTACTTTAACAATCTGTGATTCAAATAAAATGTGACATAGTTCCAAACATATAACATCATGGAGAGTGCAGAAGGAATTTAGTTTTGAGGGAAGGGGATGAGGGGAATGACAGAAAGAAAAGGTCCGCTGGTCCATTCATAAATTCACAAAGGTGAGATAAATTGCACACGCATGAGGGTAGTGGTTGAAAGTACGCTCTTCTGGTACAGAGTGTACTTGGAGCCCATCCCTATTTTTGACAGTTCCCAAACTGAACCTTAGTTTCACAAATAAGGTTAAGAACCTGATTAACTCAACTCTTCTTGATTTCCCCTTCTTAGTGGCTTAAACTATGATACTTGAGGAAAAGACACTTGAAGATACTTGTGAAAGATGTGCAGCCAACAACAACAACAACAACAACAAAAAGAAAGAAAAAATAATATGAGAAAGCAAAAAGAAGTCAAAGAGATTTCAGGCTGACTTACAGATATCTCAATAGTTAAGGGAGGTGTCAGCAAGGGAGAGGGCGGGGAGGAAAGGGAACTGAAACTGAGGTGCTTAAGAGAAGTGAAAGTGAAACTCAGGGCTGTGAATGGAATGAGGACGTGATGGGGAAATGCTCAAACAATAGCAAGCTGATACAGCAGCAGAGGCTACTGTGAAATTATCTTGCCTAGGACAGGTGCCCGGGAGTTTTTTTTAACCTGGTTTTCATAAAAAAATGTATAGCTTGTGTAGATCTTTAATGACTTGAGCCCACAGTCATGATGACTTAGGGTGAGCAACGGTACAGAGCCTTAGAGGGAAAAGTATGTCTGTAATCCCTGTCTGAGCTGAAAGCCAGATGAACTCTGATGCAACACAGAGCAGGCAGAGGAGCAGGCAGAACGGTGCTGCTGGTTTGGGAGCCCCACAGCCCCTCTCTGGGAAGTGGCTCTCGTTGGAGTACAGCAGGGGTCTGGTCTGACATCCCAGGTCAAGGGCCAGGAATGTACCACATGGAGGAAGAAGCTGTGTCCAAGAGAGCCGCTCTTGCCACAGCTGGACTTGCAGCAAAAGGAATAGTGGCTATTCTGAGTCTTCCCCCACCTACTGCCTTTTCACCTGTACAGCGTAACCCCTGTTCAAATTATCAAAGACCCAGAGTTTCCTGAGTGCACTGAGGCTTCATTGGGGGTCTAGAAGTGTTGTCCTTACTGACAGATCCTTATGAGAACCCAGATCCCACTGGCTGCTGGCTCTGCTTTTCTGCCTGGCTGTGACCACGACTGTTTGGATAAGTGAGCTGTGGAGAACACCAGGAGACACACAAGCCAAGGAGAGACCGTTTTCCATACTCAGTGTGTCACCATACCATGTACAGGCAGCCACAATGTGTCTTTTGAGTGAAACATCCTTCCTCACTAAGTTCTTCTAAAGAGGTCATTGGCATTGTGGCAGTTTTCTTTACCAGGCCTAAAACTTCCCCAGCAATGGTTTTAGAAAAGGAAAAGGGGAAAAGCCACTAAGAAAAATAAAAAGCACAGCACTGGTACACTGGACTGAATGCTGAAGCTAACTAAGGCAGGAACTAACAAAGCAACCTTCAACACCATTCAACATAGATTTCTTTAGTTTTTAAAATAATCCTGTTTTTTTTTTCAATATTGACTTTTCACCAACAGAGTCAAAAGATTTTGCATTAATTTCAGCAACATATAAAACCAGTTTCACTGTCTGTGAAGCTCATTTTGTTTATTCCTTTACTGCTACTAAGGATATGCTAAAATTGTTTTGTAAGAACAGGAATGAGCTTAATCTGTGGCCCACTTAAAAATCAGATAGGAATGCTGTAGGATATATAGATATATATCTCATATATATATCAGGAATATTTTTTTTTTCATGTTGATACTGTTCCCTGGGTGCTGTCTTTGCCAATAAGTGTTTTCACTTAAAAAAAAAAAAAAAAAAAAAAAGCTGTAACAAATGCTCAGTGAGGATCTCTGCGTGGATTCCCATCCTACAGGGTAGAAGATACATAAATAGGGAAAGAAATCTTCCTATCATCCTTTATTCCCTTTCTTATCCTTTCCCAGAATGTAGGAAGATCAATTGCTTTTTTATACAAAGTTTGCAGATGTGTTTAATTCCCTGACAATTGTACAGGCTATCGTCAGGTCTTTCAGTCAAAATCCTAAAGTGTAAGGGAATTGTTTCAGACAATGTCAGACAAATGTCACACACACACAAAACCCTCCAAACAATCTGGAAGAAAAGATAAATTCCCTGATAAAGCTTTGGGGCGATTTTGCTGACTCGTGATTTGTCATTTATCTCATGACAGTTGGCATTTTTTTGTGTAACTTACCTTTTATAAAAATGGGAGGAAGTTGCCTTTTAGCCCTGGGATCTGGAAGAAAAAGCCTTGAGAATGTGACAGCTTGAAATTCACTACAAATAAAGACTGTCAAATTGATAGGTTGTTATTACTTATTTTTTAATTCTTGTTGCCGTGATGAGTTCTGAATATTTGAGCTATTTTATTCTTTCAGACTCTTTTTCAGCAGGAGTTGAGCAAGCTTATGTTTGAAAACTGAAGACACGTTTAAGAAATTACATCTTTTTAATATGCACATCTGGATTAGGACTTTATATTCAATATGAGTAGTAAAATGCAGAAGATGACCCATAGTCCTAAATATGTTAACATCCAGTGTAGGAGTAAACATACAATTTTAAGCACATTTTCAATAGTTTAAACATAGTTTGGGATTTAAAGTCACTGAAAAATAAGTTCTGTGTAGGCAGAGGGTGTGTTCCCAGGATCAACTTCATTATGAAAGGCTATTTCTAAAGTTAAAGTTGTTGGTTATTCATTTGCAAAGGTCATCTATCCCAGGGCCTCTTTGGCAAGCTTGCCAATAAAGGTACTGTTATGAAACGCGGTTGCAAATTTCAGCTCCCTGTTCAAGGGAAGCTGAACTAAGGTCGCAGTCTTTCTTTTACATAACTGTCAAAGGTGAATTATTACTATTTTCATCTGGATGCAGCTCAGAAACCTATGAAGGATAGAAACATTATCAAAATGCTAAGATAGAGGTGTCTATTTCAACTTCTGTGCAAACGAAGTGGGTTCCTTGCCTGTGTGGCATTCCAGCCTGTGGTACGCATGGCAGTCTGTACTGGTTCGCTTTTCTCCATGTAAAGTTGTCAAGAGAATTTAAGGAG